CAACTAATAGACTAGATTAGTACAACCTATAGACAAGATTATTGGCCAACCTATAGACTAGACTAGACTATAATCCAACCTATAGAATTGACTATAGTCCAGCTTATAGACTAGACTATAGTCCAACCTATACTCTAGACTATAGTCCAACCTATAGGCTAAACTATAGTCCAACCTATAGACTAGATTATAGTCCAACCTATAGACTAGATTATAGTCCAACCTATAGACTAGACTATAGTCCAACCTATAGACTAGACTATAGTCCAACCTATAGACTACACTTTAGTCCAACCTATAGAATTGACTATAGTCCAGCTTATAGACTAGACTATATTCCAACCTATAGACTAGATTATAGTCCAACCTATAGAGTAGACTATAGTCCAACCTATAGAGTAGACTATAGTCCAACCTATAGAGTAGACTATAGTCCAACCTATAGAGTAGACTATAGTCCAACCTATAGACTAGACTATAGTCCAACCTATAGACTAGACTATAGTCCAACCTATAGACTAGACTATAGTCCAACCTATAGACTAGACTATAGTCCAACCTATAGACTAGACTATAGTCCAACCTATAGACTAGACTATAGTCCAACCTATGGAGTAGACTACAGTCCAACCTATAGACTAGACTTAGTCCAACTTATAGACTAGACTATAGTCCAACCTATAGACTAGACTATAGTCCAACCTATAGACTAGACTATAGTCCAACCTGTAGACTAGATTATAGTCCAACCTATAGACTAGACTATAGTCCAACCTATAGACTAGATTATAGTCCAACCTATATACTGGACTATAGTCCAACCTATAGACTAGGCTATAGTCCAACCTATAGACTAGGCTATAGTCCAACCTATAGACTAGACTATAGTCCAACCTATAGAGTAGACTATAGTCCAACTTATAGACTAGACTATAGTCCAACCTATGGAGTAGACTACAGTCCAACCTAAAGACTAGACTATAGTCCAACTTATAGACTAGACTATAGTCCAACCTAGAGACTAGACTATAGTCCAACCTATAGACTAGACTATTGTCCAACATATAGACTAGACTATAGTCCAACTTATAGACTAGACTATAGTCCAACTTATAAACTAGGCTATAGTCCAGCCTATAGAGTAGACTATAGTCCAACTTATAGACTAGACTATAGTCCTATAGACTAGTCTAGTCCATAGACTAGTCTATAGGTTGGACTATAGTCTAGACTGCAGTCCAGCCTATGGACTAGACTGTAGTAAAGCCTAGACTGAAATCTAGACTATAGACAGGACTATTGTATAAAGTAGACTGTAGTCCAGACTATAACACTGACAATAATTCGGACTATAGGCTACATTACAGTCCAAACCACAGACTTTACTGTAATCCGGACTATAGACTTGACTATTGTTCATATTATATTTACGACTAGAATTATGACTGTACACTAGACTATAGTCCAGACTTATGACTATAGCGCAGATTACAGACTAAAATCTAGTGGACTTGGCTAGACTATAGTACTGGCTATATTTCAGACTACAGGCTTAACACTAGTTTAGATTTTTCAACTTTTCATTGTAATTTCAAATTAACAATTTACCATCTCTGCTTAAAAGATTATTTTTACAACATCTATTCCTTGAGTTTTAATAACCTGATGCGGTAATTTTATTCTAGATTTCTTTTACTTGTTTTTTTTTCTCTCTCTCTTTCAATATGGTTAAAGAAACAATTTATATGATGGCAATAAATTAAATGCTAAAGTTTTAGTTTAATTTTCCATTTCCAGCGTGATTTTGGTTGTGCAATCAAAAATAAAATTCTCTATAAATCTCGTTCTTTGGCTAAGAAGAATTAAGAGAAGAAACCAAATATGTATCTAAAAATAAAAGTCAACCACAAAAAATGCTAGAAAAATATACAAACAATTAATCTTGTAAGTAGTTAAACTGTACGAATGGATGAATGAATGAATCAGATTGGATTGATAAATTATGGTTTTAGTTTAAAATAATATACATGTATGTATGTTCATACCAGTCAGATTTAATAGTTTTGTGCTTAAATTGTGCACTTTACTGTATAAATCTAAATTTAGCTGTAAGCTTTTCGAAACAAAATTTAAGCTTTTTGTTTCTTCCCATATGATTCTTCTTTTTAGGAGGATAGTGTGAAAAAGGGGGATTATAGTGGCAGTAAAATATGAATGATCATGGTATGAGATTCTTTAGAATTCTCTTACTCATATTAAAAAACAACTTTATGCTAAAGAACAACAACAAGGGGATATAGCTCAGTGGTAGAGCATTCGACTGCAGATCGAGAGGTCCCCGGTTCAAACCCGGGTGTCCCCTGTTAAAAAAGTTTTTTTATTAATTTATTTATTGTTGACAAGTTGAATAAACTTTATATTTCAAAATTAATTAATTATGATAACTAAAATAAAAATACAACATGTCTAGCAATGACAGGAATACACGTCAGTTTTACCTCATACGATTAAAGTTCAACAAGAAAACGTATGTTTAATTTTATTATTATATATTATTAAAACAAATCTGTTGTTTTCTTAAATCATTTGTTTTAATTATATATGTATGTCATAGTGTTTTTGTTTAAAATATGTTGTTATTTTAAAATGATTAAAAAACCACGTTTTATTTGAATTTTATAAGTGCTGAAGATAATTTGTTTATATTTCATTATTTAAAATAAACCTTTTATAAATATTTAACTTGATATTTAAATGTTTGGTAAATATTAAGTGTAAATCTTTTAAAATCCTGTTTTTTTTTTTTTTTTGTTTAACCATAAAATTTAATTAAATCAAAACAAAAATGATAGTTTCGCTGTCATCCATTACATGAATACAACATACTTTCCCCACCACCTAACGTCATTCATTTATAAAGACTGTGTTAAATTTACGAAAATGCATTTATTTCATAGATGGTTGGGAGAGAGAGTGAGAGAGAGAGAAGAGGAGGGTATCAGTAGCGAGGTTTTATAGTATATTTACTGTGTTTATCAAACAAATAAAGGGTGAGATATTTAGTAGGTCCAACTACCAGCGATCCATATGAGAGACTAGTCGGAACTATAGACTATTGCATAGTTAACATTATAGACTATTCTATAATCGAAACTTTAGGTCATTCAATATTCGTCACTATAGACTGATCTATACTCGATAATATAACAGATCTATATTCTATGGACTATGCTATTGTCAAGACAAATAAAGGGCGAGAGACTAGAGACTAATTTACTATCGATCCTATAGATTATAAATCGATCTATAGTTCAGATTATAGACTGATATATAGGCGAGACTGTAGACTAATGTGAAATCGATGTTTAGTTGAGATTATAGACTGATCTTAGGTTAAAATTTTGACTGATCTAGAGACGAGACTTTGTACACATCTGTAGTCGAGTCTAATCTATAGATAAGACTAAGGATTCTTCTATAGATGAGACTACAGACTCATTTATTGTCAAAGCTATAGACTTTAACAGTTGAGACTAAAGCGTATTCTATTGTCGACATTACTGACCTATAATTGAAACTCATCTATATAGTTGAGACTATATACTGATATATAGCCGGAACTATATACTATTCTATTGACAAGATTATCCCATACTTGAAACTATAGACTTTCCCATAATCGAAACTATAGACAATTCCATAGTCGGAACTGTAGACTATTTCATAGACTAGATTATATATTACTCTACACTCGAAACAATAGGTCATTCAATATTCGTTGCTATAGAATGATCTATAGTCGATAATATAACAAATCTATACTCGGGACTATAGACTATACTATTGTCAAGACTATAGACTATTCTATACTTGAGACTATAGGTCGTCACTATAGACTAACCTATAGTCGATAATATAAACTGATCTATAGTCGGGATTATAGACTATGCTATTGTCAAGACTATAGACTATTTTATAATTGACTATATACTATATACTTATCTGTAACCGCGACTATGGACTATTCCATTTTCGAAACTATAGACTATTCCATAGTTAAACCTATCATTCTACTCGAGACTATAGATCATTATATAGTCGTCATTATAAACTAACCTATAGTCCAGAATAGAAACTGATATATAATCGGGACAATAAACTGATGTATAACCGCAACTATATCATCATTCAATATTCGTTATTATAGAATAATCTATAGTCTTGGGATTGTAGGCTATTCTATACTTAAGATTATAGGCCACTCTATAGTCATCACGATAGACTAATCTATTGTCGAGAATGTAAACAGATCTATAGTCTGGACTATATAGTGATCTATATCCGCAACTGTAAACTATTCTATTCTTGAGACTATAGACTAATCCACAGTTGTGACTATAGACTATTCTATACTAGAGATATATAGGCCATTCTACCTACATATAGTCATCAGTATAGACTGATCTGTAATGAAGAATTTGAACTGATCTGTAAGTGAGAATATAAACTGATCTATATTTGAGACTATATACTGGTTTCTAATCGAGACTATGGACTATTCTATAAACTGATCTATTGTCAAAGCTATAGACTATATGCAGACTACTCTACAGTCGAATCTAAAGTCTATTCTGTAGACTTGATTATAAATTATTCAAAACTTTTACCTAAAGGCTATTCTACAGCTGAAACCTGTCTGTAGTCGAGAATATAGATTTCCTTATAGTCCTGACGATGGACTTTTCTATATAGACTGATCTATAGGGGAGTCTAAAAACTGATCTATAGCCGAGACTTTAGACTAATCTATAGTGGAGACTATATAGTAAATATTACATTGTATAGATTAGACTATGCAGTGGTTTCGACTATATAGACTATTCTACAGTCTATGTATATATTTGAGGTTGATAGTATAGACAGATCTATAGGTAAGATTACAGATATAGTTTTTATTAAAAGAAAATCTTTTATATATATTGAAAAAAAAAAAACTAAACTTACCTATTTATTCAACAGCTTTAATTTTAATCGAATTTTACTGCACTGATGACAAAATTAGTATATATCTGAAAAAGAGAAAAATTTAAATTTGTATTAATTTATATTGTTGATTACATTCTTTGCTGAAAACATATTAAACAAATTGGAAATTTCGAACTTTTGATAAAATAGAAAAATAATAATCAAAATTATATCGCTGATATTTTGGGACCGATTTTGTAAAATTTTTTGTATACGATTTGTTTACATCTATAGAAACAACAAAGGAATTGGGCCGAAACTTTAGCTATGACTGGAGAGTTGGTGGTAGAGGCCAACACTTTAAATAAATGGTAGTCTAACACCTTAACTGTACGATATCCTAAGAATAGATCAATCTGAACGAAAATGACCCTTATGTATAAGGAACCTAACACCTTAACTGTAAGATGTCCTTTGAATGGACCAATCTCTTTCAAGTCTCTAAAGTAAACTAAACGAACTTGTCTCTTCTGTATATAAGGAACCCCGGATCATGGGATTGGACAAATAACAAAACAAAAATATGTGAATCCAGAAAAGCTTTATAATGAACATTTTCTCAAAAATCTCTTGATAATTATTGTTGCACCCTTTAACTGTACACAGTTTCAGAAACGATGTACTAGCTGCTTTAAACCAATTTGCATTGAGTTTTTGTATTTTTGCGGTTATTTTTATATGAAGAGCAATTTTCATTTATAATTAAATAAAACATGTTGCACATGGATGAGCAACACACGAAAGAAAAAACCGCATGTGTTTTTGGGAAACAAACGAAAAAGACAACGCAAAAGAGAGAGGGCCCAGTTTTAATTTGAATAGATTTAAGTTGATTAAATTTAAAAGGCTTAACTAAGAACAGAGGCGGTGAGAATGTGAAAATTGAGAAAAGAAAAAGAAAAGAAATTAAATCCAGTATAAATTTTATAAATTTAACTGTAATAAAAGTTTTTCGAGCTTCGAATTTACAGAATTCTGAAATATTTACTTTTGGTTAAAATCTAATAAATTCTGTTAGTATTCGACTATTTTTTCTAAGGCCCCAAACGTCATAAAAGAACCAGTATTTTCTCTTTTATTGCCAAATTCCCAATGTATTGAATTATATATAAATTGGTTTATTTTTCAAACGACAGATGTTGTCATTTGGTTTGACTTAAATCAACAACATTTTGCCTGCATTCATATATGCGACAACAGCAATAATGACGTTGACAACTAAAATGTTCTAATAAATAGATTTATAAAATAAAAAATAATAATAAATGATGCTGCTTAAATGTACATGATGCTGATGATGATGATTATAATGTTTGCAGTTGAATGCGGTAAAAATTTTGTGGTGAAACGCAGCACTAAATCAAAATTAATTATTAACAAAACACAAGGATTTTAAACGGGTAGATAAATAAGTTAATTTGTATATTAAACCTTTAACCCTATGATGGCTATAGGGGTCATTTAACGTTTTTGGTATATTTTAGTATAATACAGTAAATCTTAGCATGATACCAGCTAATAAAACTGAAGTAATATTTTCCACAGTTATAGCACTAACAGCTTGTCATTAAAGGGTTAAGGGCCAAGAATTTCTATTTTTTTAAACAAAAACATACAATTTTACTTAAAGTTTTTCTATAAAAACTTTAGCTTTATAAAAATTTTAATAACTTAAGCATATTCCTTTAAGAAATACCATTAAAAATTATATATATTTTTAAATTTTTATTATAAAAAATTAAATTACAAACATATTTTACATTTATATTAAAAACTATATACAGCAGGTGGTCAAGAACAACCATAGTTTTTATGTTGTATATAAAGACCTATTCTTATCTTTGACTTTCCACTCAATACCATTCACCTACAGCTCTCAATGTTATCTCCTGTACTTGTGTATGAGGGGCAGTGGACAAAGCATACATAACAGCTTGAGCAACATCATCAGCCTGAAGTATGACATCACCCAACATTTCTTTGGTTTCATCGGGTACAATTTCGGTGGCCACCCAACCGGGACTGATGTTCTGTTTAGAGGGCAAAAGGGTGATGTTAAATATGTTAAAATTTTTTTTAACTATAGAAATCAAGTTGTTGGAAAGGTTTTCAATTGTGTTTTAGGTTATTTTATCTGGGGCCCATTGTTCTACTTAAGGGACTAAACAACTATCTAGTCTGGTCTATAGAGTAGACTATATTCTGGATTATAGAGTAGACTATAGTCTGGACTATAGAGTAGTAGTAGTAGACTATAGTTTGGAATATAGAGAAGACTATATTCTGGACCATAGAGTAGACTATATTCTGGACCATAGAGACTATAGTCTGAACTATAGAGTATACTATAGTCTGGACTATAGTCTGGACTATAGAGTAGACTATAGTCTGGACAGTACAGTAGACTATAGTCTGGACTATAAACTAGAATATAGTCTGGATTATATAGTAGACTATAGTCTAGACTATAGACTAGACTATATTCTGGACCATAGACTAGACTATAGAGTAGACTATAGTCTGGACTATAGAGTAGACTATAGTCTGGACTATTGAGTAGACTATAGTCTGGACTATAGAGTAGACTATAGTCTGGACTATAGAGTAGACTATAGTCTGGACTATAGAGTAGACTATAGTCGGTTCTATAGAGTAGACTATAGTTTGTACTATAGAGTAGCCTATAGTCTGGACTATAGAGTAGACTATAGTCTGGGCTATAGAGTAGACTATAGTCTGGACTATAGAGTAGACTAAAGTCAGGACTATAGAGAAGACTATAGTCTGGACTATAGAGTAGACTATAGCCTAGACTATTGTCTAGACTATAGAGTAGATTATAGTCTGGGCTATAAGTACTCTATAGTCTGGACAATAGAGAAGACTATAGTCTGGACTATAGAGTAGACTATAGCCTGGACTACAGAGAAGGCTATAGAGTAGACTATAGTCTGGACTATATACTTGACTATAGTATGCACTATATAGTAGACTATAGTCTGGACTATAGACTAGACTATAGTCTGGAGTATAGACTAGACTATAGTCTGGAGTATAGACTAGACTATAGTCTGGACTATAGACTAGACTATATTCTATATATTGTGATAATCTGAACTGTAGAGTAGAATATAGTCTGGACTATAGACTAGACTATACTACGAACTATAGGCTAGACTAAAGTCAAGAGCATAGTTCAGATTATAATCCATTCTATATTCCTGAAAACTTAAACACAATTGAAAACCTTTCGCATCTCTTATCCCCCGATTTACTACTTACAGTTGTCTTGATTTTCTTCTTCAAAGTAATCAATTCTTGACGGCAAATTTCATTTAAAGCATTCAAACCAAATTTCGTGGGGGTGTAAACATTTAAACTGGGATAATCGGGTCCAGGATTATAGCCCGGTAAACCGGCAGTACTGTTAATATAAATCAAATGTCCAGCAGAATTTCTAGCTTTCATACTCTTGAAAGCATTCTGTGTACAATAAATAGCGCCCATTAAATTGGTATTCACCACATCTTTAATATCTTGCATGGGCATATCAACTAGATTACCCTCACGTATGGTACCGGCATTATTTACCAAAATATCAGTACCACCTACAGTTTTTTCGACCCAATCAAACGCCGTGTTAACATCCTCCTCTTTGGAGACATCACATTTATGATAGAAAAATCTATTTTGTTGTGCAGCAGGTAGGGATTTCTTAAGTTCTTCCATGCGTTCAACACGTCTGGCCAGACCAACGACCTTTACACCGGCAGCTAAAATTGCTTTAACACAAGCTGCACCAATGCCCGAACTGGCACCGGTTACTACAGCTACACGATTATGCCAACGTTCCATAATGTTTTTGTTTATTTTTTATTTTTTAATTAAGTTAAAAAAAACGTTGTGTAGACCCGTTTAAGTTCAGAGTACAACTGTTTGCTAAAAGCTAAAAATTGTTTACAGTACAACTCTTTAAAATTTTAAAAGATCATAAAATTTTGTCTTAGACTGATAAGTAAAGTCTCTTATCTCTGCTGGGAGAAACATACGAGCTGCTATGAGTAGTAGAAAGTGGGTGTGTGTGTGACTATATATTGAGTATTTATTTGTCAAGTCATTGGAACGAAGAAAATATAAATAAACACGAGAGTTGGAAATATTAAATAATTTTATATATTGATAAGCCGGCTGTTGAGAAATTTGTTAACAATGTTGTTAAACGGATTTAAATTTATTATGTATATAAAAAGAGTTGCCAAATCGGTTTATAAAATGTGGGTAATGTGGGAAAATTACCATTTAACTTCAAAAATGTTGTTTGGCAAGTTTTGTCTAAACAAACGAGTGTAAAACTGCTAGTATCTAGTTGGCCTGAGTTTATCTAAATCCACCATGACTAAGTTGTTACTAAAATTAAGAAAAATGTTAATGAACTAGTTCCATAACTAGTTCCTAGGAATCGATTCTGACCCCTTAGAGTCTGAAAGAGGTTAAATTGTTTCTTCTTGCATATTTCTTTGCATATTTTTATGGATATTTAAATATTGAAAAATATATGATTTTAAAATGTTTCCCATTTTTATAATAGTTTTCAAATACATATATTCTTGTTTTTGTTTTAATTTAATAAAAGTTTTTGTTTTTATACAAAAACTAATATATTTTCTTGTACTTCCTTTAGTTTAATAACTTCCATTTCCGTTTTTCATAAAGTTTTTTACTCACTTTAAAAGTTATTCTTTTAACTTTAAATATTACTTATTATATTAAAAAATGTTTATATAAATTCAGAAAAAATTTAAAAACATTTTTAAAAGTTTTTTTTTTTTTTTTTAATTTCCTTAAAACATTAAAATTTTATATTTTAAATAATTTTTTTTTAGTATTATTATTTACATTTGCTGCTTTATGTTAAGTTAAAGGAAAAACTCTTAATTTTTATTTGTTCTTATTTATTACACTTTCGTTTATTTTTTTTAACAATTCAATTCAAGGTTTTGTTTTATTACATTTTTCACTTTTGATTGGCAAAGGTCTAGTCCTTATTCTTATTTTGCAACCAATTCAATTTGTTTTTTTTTATTAAAAAAAAAAAATACAATAATTTTGGTTAAATATTTATTTATTGCCTTCCTCTGAATTTATATTCATATAGACAATTTATAGCAGAGTTCTAAATGTATGAAATGTTAATAAAAAGTTTAAATACTTATATTTTATAATCTCTTCAGTCTATAGACTATGGGATATGGTTTCTTTAGAATCTGGACTATATATTATAGTTTCCTCAGACAATAGAATATAGTCTCCTCAGACTATAGACTATAGCCTTCTTAGAATATAGACTATAGTCTCCTTAGAATATAGATTATAGCATCCTTAGACTATAGTCTCCTTAGACTATAGACTATAGTCTCCTACGTCTATAGTCTCCTTAGACTATAGACTCCTCAGTTTATAGACTATAGTCTCCTTAGACTATAGTCTTCTTAGACTATAGTCTTCTTAGACTATAGTCTTCTTAGACTATAGACTACAGTCTTCTATAGACTTTAGACTATAGTCTTCTTAGACTACAGACTATAGTCTTCTAAGACTATAGACTCCTCAGACTATAGACTATAGTCTCCTTAGACTGTAGTCTCCTAAGACTATAGTCTTCTTAGACTATAGTCTCCTTAGACTATAGACTATAGTCTCCTTAGACTATAGACCATAGTCTCCTCAGACTATAGTCTTCTTAGACTATAGTCTGCTTAGACTATAGACTCCTCAGTCTATAGACTATAGTCTCCTTAGACTATAGTCTTCTCAGACTATAGTCTTCTTAGACTATAGACTACAGTCTTCTATAGACTTTAGACTATAGTCTTCTTAGACTTTAGACTATAGTCTTCTTAGACTACAGACTATAGTCTTCTTAGACTATAGACTACAGTCTTCTATAGACTTTAGACTATAGTCTTCTTAGACTACAGACTATAGTCTTCTTAGACTATAGACTCCTCAGACTATAGGCTATAGTCTCCTTAGACTGTAGTCTCCTCAGACTATAGTCTTCTTAGACCATAGTCTCCTTGGACTAAAGACTACAGTCTCCTCAAATAGTCTTCTTAGACTATATTCTCCTTAGACTATAGATTATAATATCTTTAGAATATAGACTCCTCAGATTATAGACTATAGTCTCCTCAGACTATAGTCTTCTTAGACTATAGTCTCCTCAGACTATAGTCTTCTTAGACTATAGTCTCCTTAGACTATAGTCTCCTCAAACTATAGTCTCCTTAGACTATTGACTATAGCCTCCTTAGACTATATACTATAGTCTTCTCAGACTATAGTCTCCTCAGACTATAGTCTCCTCGGACTATAGTCTCCTCAGACTATAGTCTCCTCAGACTATAGTCTCCTCGGACTATAGTCTCCTCGGACTATAGTCTCCTCGGACTATAGTCTACTCAGACAATAGACTATAGTCTCCTCAGACTATAATCTTCTTAGACTATAGTCTCCTTAGACTATAGATTATAGTATCTTTAGACTATAGACTCCTCAGTCTAAGGAGACTATAGTGTCCTTAGACTATAGTCCCCTCAGACTATAGTCTTCTTAGACAATAGACTATAGTCTCCTTACACTATAGGCTATAGACTCCTCAGTCTATAGAATATAGTCTCCTAAGACTATAGACTATAGTTTCCTCAGACTATAGTCTCCTCAGACTATAGTCTTCTTAGACTATAGACTATAGTCTCCATAGACTATGGATTATAGTATCTTTAGGCTATAGACTCCTGAGACTATAGACTATAGTCTCCTTAGACTATAGTCTTCTTAGACAATAGACTATAGTCTCCTTAGACTATAGTCTCCTCAGACTATAGTCTCCCCAGACTATAGTATCCTCAGACTATAGTCTCCTCGGACTATAGACTATAGTCTCCTTAGACTATAAACTATAGTCTCCTCAGACTATAATCTTCTTAGACTATAGTCTTCTTACACTATAGACTATAGTCTCCTTAGACTAAAGATTATAGTATCCTTAGACGATAGACTCCTCAGACTATAGACTATAGCCTCCTTAGACTATAGTCTCCTCAGACTATAGACTATAGTCTCCTTGGAATATAGACTATAGTCTCCTCAGACTATAGTCTTCTTAGACTATAGACTATAGTCTCCTCAGACTATAGACTTTAGTCTCCTCAGACTATAGACTATAGTCTCCTCAGACTAAGACTATTGACTATAGTCTCTTCAGACTTTAGATAATAGTCACTTCAGACCATAGACTATAGTCTACTCAGACTATAGACTGTATTCTCCTCAGAATATAGACTTTAGTATTCTCAGATTAGAGACTATAGTTTCATGAGACAAATGACTATAGTCGACTCAGACAATAGTCTATAATCTCCACAGATTAAAGTTTATAATGTCCTGCCAGAATTAGATTCAAATATTTTTCTTAAATTTTAAAAAGATTGAATCAAAATACTTATTTATAATATAAATATATTTAAATAAGAAACTTTTATATAACAACTATATTTGTTTAAAATGCGTTATGCAAAAACAAAAAAACATTCCATTTGAAATAAAATTTCTAAGAAATTTATAACATATTTAACAGGAACGAAAAGTAGCAACTTTTTGTTATTTTACAATAACATACATTTGGGCGTTAACAAAATTTCTTACATTTAAAAGTTAAATTTTTTTATTTTATAAAAAAATATAGAAATATTTTTAAAAGCCAAGCATTGTCAGAAAGTCTCAAAAGACTACACAAAAGTAAAAAAAAAGTGTGTAAATATACATTTAAAAAAATTATATATGAACAATAGGGATGCCAATCCCGAAATCCCGATCCCGAAAATCCCGGGATTTTTCGGGATTGGCAAATCCCGAATCCCGGGATTTGGAAAATAAATCCCGGGATTTTTTCGGGATTAGGATTTGTTTCAAAAAACTGTTTTTATTTTCTTTTTTTGAGCCATAATTTTCATTAATTTGAAAATTACGATCTTATTTTATTTTTGACTCATGCAAAACAAAATTCCGCAGAGCTAATTTTATACATATTTGAACCTTTTATTTTTTAAAGTGGTATGAGTCCATACACATAGCACATATAAATTTATTTATTCACTTCGTTTTTATACCTTACACCACTTTAGTGGGGAGGGTATATTGGGTTTGTGCTGATGTCTGTTACACACAATAATATTGGTCCTATACCTTAAAGTATACCAATCGGCTCAGAATCATTTTCTGAGTCGATTTAGCTATGTCCGTCCGTCTGTCCGTCCGTCCGTGTAAACCTTGTAATCAAACTACAGCAATTTTGAAGATAATTCAATGAAATTTTGCATGATCTTCTATTGTACTAGAGACGGATCCTATTGAAAATGGATAACATCGGTCCAATATTTGACCTAGCCCCCATACAACTGAACCCCCCAAATAGGGTTTTTAAGTTCATAATTATGTTGAATATACTCGTAACTCGACAAAAAGCTGCAAAACCAAGTTCTATACTAGCCTTCATGACCCTGATGTATTTTTTGATGATGCGGCCTCATTTGACCCTAGCCCCTATGCAAAGCCCCCTTCGAAATATGACTTAAATGTACACAATTTTATTCAACAAAAAATAGCTAAATTATATCTGAGGCAAGGTACAATTCAACTTAGATGCTTTATTATGAACAATAAATCACATTTTATTTTTATAACTGGTGTAGGGTATTATATGGTAGGCTTCGCCCAACTATAACTTTTTACTTGTTAGCACATTGCAATGTTGGTCGTAGACCGACCCAAAAAGTATATACATTCTGTGTCTGTAAGCTGAAAACACGAGTTAGAAGACTCATTCTATTTGGGCTGCAAATTTGGACCAAAATTGACACAAGAAAACCTAATTGGACCTCCTCTGAAAATCACATTGATGCTGATA